GGGTAACTGGCCGAGAGAGAAGAGGCTGGAAAGGGAGGCTGCTTTGGGGGTGTATCAGTCACCAACATACAAGGCTGCTTGCTGGCTTCCAGGGGGAACCCCTGCCTCTTCCCAAAGCCCACCCTTAAGATGAATTAGGAAGCACAGACGGAAAACTGATTTAGGGCTAAGAACACAGATTTGGCCATGACATCTGACATCACTGCAAAATAAAAAAATAATCTTTTTATCTTCTTAAGGGAATGATTTTCTGACCTTTCATTGTCCTGATATGTGAACGCACTTTTATAGGTGAACTTGATCAGGTCAGCAGGTTTACGTGGGCTTGTTTCCCTCCCCTCCACTGAGCCATCCCTCCATCGGTCCGTGTCCCTCTCCCCCAGGGCAGCACGGCTCTGCTTCTGGCCCTGCCCGGACCTGAGGCAGGTGGAGCGGCCCAATGCCTTGCTTGACACTAGGGAAACCCCTCCTCCTGCGCCCTTTTTTTCTGTTACGGGAGGTGGGCCTTCACTTGTCTTTCTCTTCACATTGCAGTGTCGATGTACGACACTGGTTTGGGCTTAAGGGAATCGGACCCTGCCTAATGGAAAGCGTTGCTTCCAGGGCATTACTCACTTAGGGGAAAAGGAGCTTGTCACCTGTTTCCGTGTAGAGTAACAGAGCTCTGCACCGGGACCCAAGCCCGAGGCTTCAGCTACTGATGCGCTTGCACTTTGTCTTGCTTTGTCAATGTCCTCATTACAAGCATCTCCTCTGGCGACCTCATAGGTGAGCAGAATGTAAGCGTTCTTGGGTCCACTGGCCAAAATACACCACAATCCTTTATCTCCAAAAAACCATGGTAAGGTGGCTACACAGCTCGTGTGTGTGTGTGTGTGCGTGTCTGTGTGTATAACTGAAATCACCAAACTGTACACCAAAGACTAACATGACACTGTAAATTGACTATACTTCAATAAAAATTAAACAAAACAAAATAAGATAAAGTAAAATAAAATAAACCACATTAAAGTGAGAAAAGGGTAGCCCATTCCTTCCTTCTTAAAGTCCTTTTCTACAATGAATTTCTGTTTGGTAAATTCTAGAGAAACTTAGAAAGTGCTTTAGTTTGCTGAACCAAGCCCTTTAAAGAAATCTTCCCCCTAACTATTTGGCACCCTCACTGTGGCTGAAACACCTACACCACCTTGCTGTGAAGCTACAGCTGAAAATCTCTATCACAAATGACTGGAGGCTAAGCTCAAATTGGGGGGTAAGTCAATTAAAGACACTTCAATAAAATTAATTTTTACCTGGAAGAGACAAGGAACTCATGTTTAATAGGCTACACTGTGCCCTGGACAAGCAGGGGACGCACCAGTTCCTTAAGTATCATGATCGCTTTGACACGGAGGCAGAAAGTGAAGCACAGAGAGGTGAAGCAGACAATCCTAGTCACACAACCAGCAAGTCAGACACAGGAAACGCAGTACTGCCTGCGTCTGAGTCCCAAACCTGTGCCTCCCCTGCTTCACCGCATGGCTTCTGGG